AGCCTCACTGGGTTGCTACCAGAGATGGAAAAAGCGCCATTCCATCAGCCTTCGCACTAGGACAACCCTGGCCCAGCGACTCCCACAAGATCTGGAAGAAAAGATCATCCAGTTCCATCGGTTCGTGATCGCACTTCGGCAGCGGTATGGCCATTCGCTCTCCAGGCTGTTCAAATATATGGATGAAACTCCTATGCGATTCGAGCTTCCGTCGAGCAGAACCAACAATGATTTACATGTACCTACCTTTCGTGATCTCGGAAATTTGTGTTTGTTGATAATCGCTCGGCTTACAGTCGAATAAACATTGAATTTCGAATCTTGTTAAGCACCCGTAAATATTTTTTGGCGAAAATACTCGGCTATAAGCCGAACCCCCTTCCTTGGCGAGAATTTACCTGTTCTCAGTTTAATTTGTTGGAAAAATCGCTCGGCTTATAGGCGAATAAATACGGTATATGAAAATATTGACTCTTAAAAAATGTTTCTGTTCAGTATTCATTAGACTGTAAAATTTCTTGAAAGGTCACCTATATGTCACTGTAATTTCTTGGAACATTGAAAGTACAAGTTGCTTGACTCTCCTAGAACCTGAAATCTATATTTAGAAGTTTTTAAAGGGGAAATAGAATCTAGAAAAAAGTTATTTCAATTAGAAGAACTTTTCCTCAGAAGTTTGGAAATGGTGGCTGTTTTGTGCAGTTTGCTTTGCAATTGTGATGAGCACTATAAGGTTGTCCTTATTTATAACTTCTGTGGCTAGAAGCATGCCATCTTGGATATGATGTTAGTTATGAGGCAGCAATAGTCAAAATTGTTCTGGTTGACCTGTTAAACCATTGTGACAAGAATTTTTAATAGTTGAGCTATGGTGAACTGTCTTGTGGTTGAATATTAAAGTATACATTAAAATTCAAAAGTAACACAAGTAAGCCTCCGGAAGCGACCCCCAAGTGAAATATTATAGAAAACTTGGCTGGCAAAAATAATGCACAAGGAGGGCTTGCTTTACCCTGCAAAACCTGAGAACTGCCCAGACGAAGACTTCCAGTTAGAAATTCAGGCATGAAAGTTGTCCTTGTTGACCATTACTTCAAAGTGAAAGCTATGTTTACCTTTTCCATCTTCAACACAAATTTTGTTTTATTTATTCTACAGTTTTTTTGAAAAACCATGTTATTTGAATGAAATAAATTGAAGCTTGAAATGGTGATACATGTAGACCACATGTGGTAAACTCTCAGTCACCACTCTTGACCAAAGCTGAATTTCAAGATGGTTTGCTTTTCCCTGGCAGTGTGTGAATATTTCTTGTCTTTCCTAAGTCTGTCATGAGTCTACTAAGTAAACTGTCCATACCCTGCCAATCACATACTACTTTGGAAAAAAACTAAAGGCCATTTGATACATTACTAGCAAATGACTGAGACAGATGGGTTGCAACAAATACAAAAAAAATCTTGCCTGAGCAGGCATCCTTATTTCACTTTATCATCTCAATTGAACACAGTGAAAATGATATAAACATATTTCATTTCTTCAAACCAACTACTTGATGTTTTACTGAGTACGGATGCTTTCAAAAGAAATCCAAAGTACAAGTAGCCTCACAACATTTCAAACAGCGAAGAATGAAAATTATTGCCGTGAATGTACTTCTAAGAACTAAAGATTACAACACCACATGCAAGTTTAAGCTAACAGCTGAAACAAAACAAAAAGTTTTTAACTTCTGGTCAGCATTGATTTTGGAAATAACATGTTTCAAATCAATTTTGTTGTTTATGCACGCAAAGCATTATTTTAAGTCTATCAGTTCTAACTTGTCGCATGCCAACTGGGGCTGTTCTTTGGTCGAAATGACTTGTGCTTGAGTAATACACTTAAGCTGGATTCCTGAAACTGTGAAAATATTTTCTTTCATTCAAGTAGCAATGTACAATCCATTGCAGTCACTGCAATCTTCTTAATTAATTCTTCCAGTGTATTCCCCTCACGGATTTCGGAGCATAGTTTAATATATGCAACTATGAATTTAAAGAAGAAAAGAAAATGTATTATGGTAAGAGATTATAAGAGGCTTGATCTGGATGCATTTAGACATGACCTGGCAACTGTGCCATTTTATGTTGCATCTGTATTTGATGATGTGGATGATGTTCGGTGGGCCTGGAAGAATCTTTTTGATAACATTTGCAATGACCACGCCCCCTGGAAGCAGGTTAAAATTAGAAATACATCTGCACCATGGATAGGTGATGGAATATGATATAAAATGAATTGACGGTATAAACTTTTTAAGAAGG